CTAGAAGTGTGGATTTGGAGCACTTAAAATATTTGTGGGAAAATCTTATTGCAGGATAACTTATGGTGCTTTTATCCCTCCATGCCTGATCCTATCAGCTTGTGATGCTAATGATTTCTTTAAAATGTATTTACTTGTATACCAAATTGGCCTTTTGCTATGATATTGTAATCACTTATTATCATCATCATTATGTTTGTGCTAAGAATGTTCTATTTGATTTTTACCCCTCATTCTTAGTGCATAACTTTTTATCAATGACTGTACTTAAATTCATATTTTAACTTTATTCTTTACAAAAACATTGTTAAAAGTTAGGAAAACAAAATATATTTATTTTAGGCTACTTACAAAAATATAAGGTACATATTTGATGTATGTAATAATAAAAACAATACATTTGTATTTTTAAAATATACTTCAGTTTTGATGCAAAATTTGCATATTTTAAGATTTTATCAAAATAAAAAAAATATTTTTAACTAAAAATATTTATAAAATTAAATGCAATGCATGTCATTAGATCATTAATATCATATAAAAGTTTTTGATATTCACTTGTTCACAAATATATTTACTCTCAATAATGTAAGACTTTTAATTGTTTTTAATGTCAAGAATTATTGAAAAAAATTATTGTAATGAAACATTGTAGGAGAATTTGTATTAAATATTAGTAATTAAATAAGAAATATTAATGATTATAGACTATTGATTACATTAAATAGTAAAACATTTCTATGTAATTTTTGAATAATCAGTTTTAAATTTATGAAAATTTGTTTTTAATATTTTTGAGTTATCATTTATATTTTAATTTCCAAGTTTATTCATCATTCATAAAGTTTTTAATTATGTTTGTTTATATTAAAATTTTGTTAAGAAATTATTTCAGATTCAATATCATTTTTCATTTATTTTGTGCACAGAAAACCATTTGTCTGTAAGAAAATGCAAACTGTTTAGATTTACATCAATTTTCTAAAATAACTGCCGTGATCAGTTTATTCAAAAAATAGATATAGTTAATATATTAATTAGATTTTAAAATGTCTTATCAAAAATAATTTGAGAGTAGATTTTTGCGTGTCTATAACAAATTTTGTAATTGATGGAAAATTAAACAGATTGCATAATTTTTCTTTAAACTTNTTTTTTTTTTTTTTTTTTTTTTTTTCGTTTCTTTAAACATTTTTATATCTTAAATTCAGTTCCATGCATAAATGTAAAAATATAGTTTGTGTTTAAGGTTCTGTTTGGTCCTTGTTGCTTTTCATAAGTTTTATTTACAAACATTAAGTGAAGCACAGTGAGCAAAATAAGCAAGTTTCCTTGGCAGCGACTCAGATTTACAAATTGCCTGAATACAAAGTTTCAAAGTAATGACTTGACTGATTTGAATGAAATTTTGCACATTAATAGAAGTAATAAAAGATCATGACAATGTTGAAAAAATCTTGCAAGGTATAATACGTTAACATACAGGTATATCTCAAGTTACGTCATTCTCAATTATATGTTGTTTGTCAAAAAAATATATGAAAAAAATCAAGTTTAAGTCATTTTATTCTACTTTACATCTGTCCGCCACAAATATTGAAGTCGTAATATCATTAGAAAAGTGTTAAAAGCACATAAAATCATATTAAAATACATACATTTACAGTAAATGTTAATATAATCATCATAAATCCCAAAGAACAAAATATGAAAACATCTGTGACTCTGTGTTGGCGTCTTATCTAGCAGTCTTTAAGAGCTCAGTATTGCCATTTTCCACGGTAGTTCCAATATCTACTGTTTGGCGTCGTTGTCAGCGTCACTCGTTATTGGTAAATTTAACATAAATTAGTTTATTTTTTACTATCACAAAATAATTTTAATAACTTTAACCTTACAAAATCATCTTATTTTATAATGTCTTAGAGCAAACCACATTCACAAATAAAGACTCCGTGATGTACTGTAAATATCGCCAAATTGTAAACATGTATATTTACAAGTATGTACAGTACCATACATATATTCATAAATTTAGATTACTTTTTTTCTGTACTATATTAAAAACTAAAATTTATTTGTTTGTAAGCTTAAAATAAATTCTTATTAATCATATATTATTAAAAATGCATTTATAAATAAAATACAGAACTGAGAATGGTTATTTGTAGTTTAGCCTAGTGACAAGTAAATTCTACTTACGTTGCCTCTCCTAGAACCAATTACTGATGTAAGGTGAGGTATACCTAAATTATACCTTGCACAACATTTATTATATAAGTTAAGAAAGTTTTAGAACAAAGGTAAGATTTCATTGTTTATGCAGTGACAAGTTACTTTAAGGCTTCCCTAATGCTCTAACATTCTTTGAAACCATCATTGCACTTCAGTCAGAGATGAAGTTCTAGTATATAGATAACAATATACAAACCTGATATATTAGAATCACCAGACAATCTGCCAGATTTTTTATTGGGCTACATTTATGCTAATTAATTAGCATAAATGTAGTCTGTTAAAGAATCTAATAGATCATTTGATAATTCCACAAACATTAAATAGATGTATTGTAACATAAGTAAATCTTAAAACCAAACAAGCATTTATGTTCCATTATGTCTGTCTATTAGTTAAATAAGAACTGTACATTACTATAAATTTAAGATTAATTAAAAATCTTTATAGACTAAACTGAAATGGCCTGCTCATAAGTCAAAAGAATTTAGATATTAGAATTTAAAAGGATATGAAAATTATTTTATATATCTGAATATTATTAATTGAATATAAAACAGGATAGTAAGTAATATTATTTTGAGTTCAAATATTTAGTCTGAAACAAGACTTTTTAAAATGTCTTTATTAATTATAACAGTCAATTAATATGAATAATTTAGAAATTTACCATTAAAAGGAATATTTGTAGTTCATAGCCAAATTAATTCTAGCAAAATATGATATTGAATGAAAATTAAAAGATAATATTTCAGGATTTGATTGTTTATAAAATAACTAATGAATTAAAAACTGAGTACATTTGAAAATACATTGAAAATCCAAGATGATAATTTTATAAATGGAGAAAAATTATAAACTAGAATTAATGTCTTGTAGAATAGAAAATTTGTTCTAAAAAATATGAAAAAATAATGATTTGCTTATATTTTGTGCATTATTTTCTTTACTTGGAAGTCACTGATGGGACATACTTGTATTTTATTCTTAAATTAATCAACTAACTGACACCTAAATGCAAATTCCAGCACATAACAAACAAAGAAATCATGTGCTGGAATTTTTCAATTAGGTGTCAGTTAGTTGATTATACAGTTCTAGTTAAATGTGTTTTTTTTTAATTTTATTCTTTCTGACAGTTATTGTAGATACCTCCAAAAAAGAATTTCCAGACATTTACTGAAATAATTACACTTTACTTAATTTAAAAATTTTTTGAATTTAAAATGCTGTGCACAAAAGATGAAAAAAGATATTTTATTTAATACATAATATTTGGCACCTAACTAACATCATCTATTTAATAGCTTTGTGTATACGTTGTTTACATACAGAGCATGTGCATGAGATATCATTTTTCAGGAAATGGAGATTCAAGTGGTGCTTCTGTTACCTCAAATCCTTCACGCGCAAATGCCATTCATCCTGCTAATGACACTACAAGTAGCACTTCAAATCCCTCTAACAGTGATTCACTTCATAGGACCACATTTCGAGCATCTAAATGTAATAACCCACCTTTTGTGATTAATTATAGAATATTTTATAATTGCTTTTGTATTGTCATCAGCAAATATCGTCATTGTTGCTAATTGTTTTAAAGTATGATCTGTGGCAGTTGCATGTATGTGTGTGTGTTCAGNAACCTTTTTCGGGTGGCGACCCCTTTTTATAAAAGCCAAATGTCCCGCGACCCCGATACAATTGAAAAAGGCATTTTTAATAAGGTAATTAAAAAACAACGAAATTAGTTTTTTTACTATAATTTTATTTTCAGTTGTTTAATAATTTAATGCGATGGTTGAAATTGCATGTTATTAACCAGTTTCAAAATTCGCGGATGAGTTTTTGTTAACGCCAATTTCATGTCATTCTCAACATTTAATTTATTCCTCTCAAACTCTCAACACATGTTTCAACCAACTGTGACAGAATAGCGTACCTAGATTACACTTATTTTAATTTAAAAGAAATTATTCAAACTTCAAGACACCATTAAAAATAAAAATTGCATTATAGTCAATATTTTTTTTAGTTTACTGTATAAGTTGGCGACCCCACAGAAAGCCCATCGCGACCCCCTTCTGGGTCGCGACCCATAGGTTGGGAACCCGTGTGATAGATGAAATTGAATGAAAATTAAAAGATAATATTTCAGGATTTGATTGTTTATAAAATAACTAATGAATTAAAAACTGAGTACATTTGAAAATACATTGAAAATCCAAGATGATAATTTTATAAATGGAGAAAAATTATAAACTAGAATTAATGTCTTGTAGAATAGAAAATTTGTTCTAAAAAATATGAAAAAATAATGATTTGCTTATATTTTGTGCATTATTTTCTTTACTTGGAAGTCACTGATGGGACATACTTGTATTTTATTCTTAAATTAATCAACTAACTGACACCTAAATGCAAATTCCAGCACATAATAAACAAAGAAATCATGTGCTGGAATTTTTCAATTAGGTGTCAGTTAGTTGATTATACAGTTCTAGTTAAATGTGTTTTTTTTTAATTTTATTCTTTCTGACAGTTATTGTAGATACCTCCAAAAAAGAATTTCCAGACATTTACTGAAATAATTACACTTTACTTAATTTAAAAATTTTTTGAATTTAAAATGCTGTGCACAAAAGATGAAAAAAGATATTTTATTTAATACATAATATTTGGCACCTAACTAACATCATCTATTTAATAGCTTTGTGTATACGTTGTTTACATACAGAGCATGTGCATGAGATATCATTTTTCAGGAAATGGAGATTCAAGTGGTGCTTCTGTTACCTCAAATCCTTCACTCGCAAATGCCATTCATCCTGCTAATGACACTACAAGTAGCACTTCAAATCCCTCTAACAGTGATTCACTTCATAGGACCACATTTCGAGCATCTAAATGTAATAACCCACCTTTTGTGATTAATTATAGAATATTTTATAATTGCTTTTGTATTGTCATCAGCAAATATCGTCATTGTTGCTAATTGTTTTAAAGTATGATCTGTGGCAGTTGCATGTATGTGTGTGTGTTCAGTCTTTTCTTATCCACATTTAACTTTTTTATACTATTTCAATCTAACTTTATGAATATACAACCATTTGAATAAATATTTAAATTAATACTAGCTTGATAAGTATAAATAAGATACAGTCGACCCCCCTATAATTACGGTCCCTATAATTACGATTCCTATAAAACTACGAAAAAATATACGTATTTTGGAAATGTTGAGTCGGATTAGTGTAGAATCGATTAATTTTATGGAATAAAACCTTTCAATCAGCCGTAGTCCGTAAACTTGACACGTGTCGGGCTGTGATTGGAACGACTTGTAAGAAATCGGATTCCTAATAAATTGGAAC